TTATGGGAATGTAATTTTAAGAAAGATTTTAAGAAACAAGTTGGAATGAATTCAGAGAAGGACAAGGAGGAGAGGTATGGAGGCAACATAGAATCATAGAATGATTGCCCTCTTTGAATATCTCAAGGGCTGCTACAAAATGAGGAGGGGTCAAGTTTGTTCTTTGGGGCAATTAGTGGTAAGAGTTAGGTCTAATGGTTTTAAGTTCCGAAAGGTTTGGATTGAACATTAGAAGCAATGTCTTGACTATGATGGAACTAATTGCCTTGAGGAATAGTGGAGTCTCCTTCTCTGGATACTTCAGAAAGAGGCTGAACCAGTTGGCAATGCTCTAGCTCAGTGTTTCTCAACCTGGGGTTGGGACCCCTGGAGGGGTCACCAAAGACCATCTGAAAACACAATATTTTCTATTGGTCATGGGGTTTCTGTGTGGGAAGTTTGGCCCAATTCTGTCATTGGTGGGGTTCAGAATGCTCTTCGATTGTAGGTGAACTATAAATCCCAGTAACTACAATTCACAAGTGTCAATGTTTATCTTCCCCAAACTCCACCAGTGTCCACATTTGGGCATATTCYGTATCTGTGCCAAGTTTGGTCCAGATCCATCCTTGATTGAGTCCCCAGTGCTCTCTGGATGGAGGTGAACCACAACTCCCAAACTCAAGGTCAATGCCCACCAAACCATTCCAGAYTTTTCTGTTGGTCATGGGAGTTCTGTGTGCCAAGACTGGTTCAATTCCATTGTTGGTGGAGTTCAGAAGGCTCTTTGATTGTAGGTGAACTATAAATCCCAGCAACTACAACTCCCAAATGACAAAATTAACCCCCTCCCCCAACCCCACCAGAATTCAAACTTGGATGMATTGAGTATTTGTMCCAAATTTGGTCCAGTAAATGAAAATACATCAGATATTTACATTACAGTTCATATCAGTAGCAAAATGACAGTTATGAAAGTAGCAATGAAAATGACTTTATGGTTGAGGGTCACCACAACATGAGGAACTCTACTAAGGGGTTGAGAACCACTGCTCTTGCTCAATGGCTGCCAGTCTTTGGCTGTCCAGGTGTTTTGGACTTCATTTCCCACAATTCCTAACAGTTGGTAAACTGCCAGGGATCTCTGGGAGTTGGATTCCAAACCAACTGGAGGACCAAAGCTGAAGACCCTATATTGAGTAAAGGGTTGGACGTGATGGCTTGAAAGGACCTCTTCAAGCTCTATGATTCTATTATCTACATAGCCTACATTTAGAGATTTCCTTTTGTAGCATTTGCATTTTTCCAGCACAACTTCATTCTGCCCAATTTCCACATCAGTTCATATTTTTAAGTACCAGAGATATTTGTATATGTTTCCTTTAAATTTGTACATTTTTGTGAGTAATAATCGCTGTTACATGCCTTTTGTATGTTGTCTCCCTTAATATAAGCACTTTTGCGTCTATTTTCCTTGAATGTACACAGTCCCGGGTATTTTTTGTGATTGGAGAACTGTCATAAAACTGTGTCAAAACCAAAGGATAATTCCATGCCATTTTGTGTGGAAGTCTGAAAATATGAATGAGATCAATTCTCATTGAAATGCAAAGCACACAAATTTCTCTGAAATCCTTACCTACCTTACAGTGTTCTCATTAGGACTGAATGTGCTAACTCCGCTACCCCATCTTTGCTGGAGAATAAGATACAAGTCTATTTATGTGTTAAATTATTTATATCCCACCTTATAGCAAAGATGGGTCACGGAAAACAGAACTGTTTTTAAAGAATGTAGGTAATACGAAATATAGATCCATTAACCTATTTTAAGACTGATAAGACGTGTTTCTGATTTCTAAACTGTACAATTTGAAATGCCATGCTTCGGATCAAAGGACCCAAAGGCAAAACAGATTGGTGAAGCCCCTATCAAGATGAATGAAGCCAGCGTTTACCCTATCGACCCATGTGTATATCTAGAAATTTTAGTTAAAAAAAGCAACCACCAAAACCTGGGTTGATTTATTCACAGGTCAATTTGAGTACTATACCGTACCGCTTATCAAAAAAGGAACCATTTCCTTTGATTAGTAGAGTGGCAAAAGGCAAGATCTTAGTCCATCCCAGAAGAATCCAAAAGAAGCACCAAACCCCTCTGCCCTCATCATCATGGTGCCATTTCTGGCCTTTTTGAATGTCTGGGCATGGAAATGCATCAGCGGTCCAGAAAGCTGGCCATAGAATCATAGAGTTGGAAGAGACCTCGTGGGCCATCCAATCCAACCCCTAGCCAAGAAGCAGGACAATTGCATTCAAAGCACCCCTAACAGATGGCCATCCAGCCTCTGTGTAAAAGCCTCCATAGAAGGAGCCTCCACCACACTTTGGGGTAGAGAGTTCCACTGGTGAACAGCTCTCACAATCATAGAATCATAGAATCAAAGAGTTGGAAGAGACCTCTTGGGCCATCCAGTCCAACCCCCTGCCAAGAAGCAGGAATATTGCATTCAAATCACCCCTGACAGATGGCCATCCAGCCTCTGTTTAAAAGCTTCCAAAGAAGGAGCCTCCACCACACTCCGGGGCAGACAGTTCCACTGCTGAATGGCTCTCACAGTCAGGAAGTTCTTCCTCATGTTCAGATGGAATCTCCTCTCTTGTAGTTTGAAGCCATTGTTCGCGTCCTAGTCTCAGGGAAGCAGAAAACAAGCTTGCTCCCTCCTCCCTGTGGCTTCCTCTCACATATTTATACATGGCTATCATATCCCCTCTCAGCCTTCTCTTCTTCAGGCTAAACATGCCCAGCTCCTTAAGCCGCTCCTCATAGGGCTTGTTCTCCAGACCTTTTATCATTTTAGTCGCTCTCCTCTGGACACATTCCAGCTTGTCAATATCTCTCTTGAATTGTGGTGCCCAGAATTGGACACAATATTCCAGATGTGGTCTAACCAAAACAGAATAGAGGGGTAGCATTACTTCCCTAGATCTAGACACTATGCTCCTATTGATGCAGGCCAAAATCCCATTGGCTTTTTTTGCCGCCACATCACATTGTTGGCTCATGTTTAACTTGTTGTCCACGAGGACTCCAAGATCTTTTTCACACGTACTGCTCTCGAGCCAATCAAGAAGTTCTTCCTCATGTTCAAGTGGAATCTCCTTTCCTGTAGTTTAAAGCCATTATTCCACGTCCTAGTCTCCAGGACAGCAGAAAACAAGCGTGCTCCCTCCTCTCTATGACTTCACATATTTATACATGGCTATCACGTCTCCCCTCAGTCTTCTCTTCTGCAGGCTAAACATGCTCTTTAAGCTGCTCCTCATAGGGCTTGTTCTCCAGACCTTTGATCATTTTAGTCACCCTCCTCTGGACACATTCCAGCTTTTCAATATCTCTCTTCAAGAGGTGCCATCGATGCTTTCCCCTCTCTGCAGAAAAAAACCCTCAATTTATTGATAGGTCATAACAAAATCCATAACTTCGGCTCCAAAATCTGCCCTTGACTTATATATGAGGTCAACATATACATGGTTGTATAAAGGTAATGTGAGTTATTTCCCCATTGCTGCACTATATACTACTTTCTGAGTTCAACACACCTTGCAATGTATTTGCTATCCCATGAGCTTGTCTAGCAACCTCCTTAGGTTTAGGCTGTAGAAGTGAGATTTTTACAAGGCTAGATTTCTTAGAATATACTGTCCTTAAGTATTTAAAAGATGCAGATGTTGTTATTCTATAGTTCCTTCCATAGTCAAAGACTTAGGCCAACCTTTCTATCTTTTTACACACCTGGGTGCTGCATTAGAGGAAGGGCTTGTGTGGGAAGACAGCCATATCTGATCTGGAAATAGTTGTGTGGAACTGCCTCATCCACTTTACAAAGCTATTGCAAGGGTTACTGAGAATCATTCATGAGAAACCTCTGCAATCTTTCAGAACAGTGTATATATGAATAGTATACCGCTTTGAGTCCCCTTCAGGGTGAGAAAAGTGGTATACAAATACTGTAAATAAATAAATTGTGTCCAGCCAGCTTTCTTTCAGGCTGCAGTGAAGAACGTATGGCTATTAGAACCCACCCTCCTCTAACTCCTTCATAGCACTTGGCAATATTCAGACCTTGCCTCCCCTTCTCCTAAACAATCTTAATTACTAATATTAAGTTCTGGGACCCTTTCACACTATTATATTTCTTGTTTCCACTTGCTATGGTTCTGTCCTGTGGAATCCTGGAGTTTGCACCTTTCCTGAGAGTCTTTTGAAATCTCATCCAGAGAGCTTTGGTGCCTCACGAAATTATAAATCCCATGTTCCGTACAATGCAGCCATAGTAATTTCAGATAGAATCATAGCACTATAATTATATTATGTAAAAGGGTCCACAAGTTATTTCAAAACAGCAGAGAGAAGGGAGACAAAATAGATGTCCACAAGACACTTGAATCCTAGTCTTAGAAATTTTGAGAGACCAAGAAATGGCCTTGATAATGTGTGTTTCTTGTGTGCCTTCAAGTTGTTTCCTACTGAGTGTCTGAATTCATAGCTAATCTTGCGTTGGCCAGAAGTTTATAGTCTTGAGACAAAATATTAACCTGTTGGCCTTACACCTTTCCATGTGTGGAAAATGTGTGGAAAATACCTTATATTAGTCCATTTACCTTACATCGGTCCATTTAGCTCAGTGCTGTCCATGTAGCATTATGGAGGCTCTGGAGTCTTTTGTAGTTTTGAACTTGGGATATTTTGCATGCAAAAGTATGTGCTTTACCCCTCACCTACAGTCCTTGCCTAATACTGGGAAGACAGCCATATCTGATCTGGAAATAGTTGTGTGGAACTGCCTCATCCACTTTACAAAGCTATTGCAAGGGTTACTGAAAATCATTCATGAGAAACCTTTGCAATCTTTCAGAACAGTGTATATATGAATAGAAATCATTAATGAGTTTAAGGTGGAAGGAGGCACCATTCAACTGGGATTCTCAAACTTTTTCCTGTTCTTTCCCATTTTTAGGAAGGAAGCTTGTGGCCTTCGGAAAGCACAGTGTCAGGAAATGGCGTAACGGAGGTAAGGATCGGAGTCAAAACATAGCTTGAAGCAATTTTTGTGTTGGCTGGCGCTTGAAACCCAAGGATCATGTTTTTCTTCTCTCTTGTCTCCAGCAGCAAGTCTACACCCCGAGGCCTACAGACAGACTAGCGGTTCCATCCTTCTTGCAAAGGGACCGTTTTAACAGATTCCAGCCGACGTATCCTTACCTGCAGCATGAAATCGACCTGCCGCCCACCATCTCTTTGTCGGACGGAGAGGAGCCTCCTCCGTACCAGGGGCCCTGCACGCTGCAGCTCCGGGATCCCGAGCAGCAAATGGAACTCAACCGGGAGTCGGTCCGAGCGCCTCCCAACAGAACCATCTTCGACAGTGACCTGATAGATAATTCAGTGTATGGGGGACCCTGTCCTCCAAGCAGCAACTCGGGCATCAGCGCAACCTGCTATGGGAGCAATGGCAGGATGGAAGGACCGCCTCCCACGTACAGCGAGGTCATAGGCCACTTTCCTGGGTCCGCTTTTTATCAGCACCAGCAGAACAACAGCGGGATGCCCTCGATACTCGAAGGGGGCAGGCTTCACCCTTCGTCACAAATCAATAGCCTTGAGAGCACAACGGCATGGAACAAAGATAAAGAGAAACAAAAAGGGCACCCCTTTTGAAAGCAAAAGAAACCAATTGGGGGGACAAGAACACTCTGCACTTCTTGTTAATGGGATTGGAGGTTTGGTTGGGTGGGTGGGAAAGGTATGGAGAAATAGGGGGGAAGCTGTGTGCGGAACAAAACACCCTTCTCCACCTCTGTGTAGTATAAATATTTACATGTTACGTTTGGTCTGAATGCACAAGCCAACAAAGCTTGCAAAAACGGTTTGTTGAGCTCGGTCTAGAAGGTTTTGGTTTGTTTTTTTTTTTGTTTTGTTTTCTAAAGAAATCTACAGCAGTCCTTTTATTTTCTCCCCTCACCTTTAGTTTTGTTTCAAATTGAGCTGCGTGTGTGAATGTGACACCTTTTTTTGTTTATTTCACTTAACTTTAAAGACAAAAATATTTGCACAAAAATGTTTGTTTAAAGATCTGCAATATATATATAAATATATATTAAAAAAAGAAAAGAAACTGTATGTGTGTTGGGGAAGCAGGAGTATTTTTATAATAGAAGAGGCCTATTGAGGGGGGGAAACGTTTTTGTTGTGTTTTTCTGAACTAGAATAAAAACATGGCAATTTTTGAGAGCCAGCTCAAAAAAGCATGTGTTATGTTGTAAAAAGAAGAAGAAGAAGAAGAGGGGGAAACAAAAAAACAAACAAAAGCAGGGGTTAGAGTTATTTATATAAATGTTGAAAATTTTGCACTATTTTTTAATATAAATGTGTTAGTGCTTGTGTTGGTCGAAAACCTCTTTCATGTCTACCACAAAACTGTTAAGAAAAATATGGTGAAGACTAAAATGTTATACGGGAGGGAAATACCCATAAGACAGAGAACACAGATCGGGAATGAACATCATGTAAGGACGGCATCTTGTGCAATTTTTTTAACTCTCCAAATTCATATGCTCATGTCTCCAACCTGAATGGATTCTATCGCACCTGATTGCAGGTATTGTCGGATACCTGAAAATGAAATCTATGTTCCAATGCATCACTTGTGAAGGCAATGCATGTGTTTGTTAATTTTCTATTTCCTTGTTTTTTTTAAACAAATGTGTTGTTTTGGGCCCCTATTTCTTTGTGTATGGAAGGAGGGAGCGCATTTTGAAAAGCAAGCAAAGAGGCTATTTATATTCACTCCTCTCAATTGACATGGTGCCTGTAAATTTTATTTTATGTCACTCTTAGGTATCTGTTCCTCAGGGTTGCAATGCATCCATTGTTTTACATTCCCTGTAAAAACAAGATTTACTGTTTTTCCTTTTTGTGATTTAAAAGTTCTGAGTCTGCATTTGTGTTATGATTATTGGAGGTGGGACAGAAAAATAAATAATAGGATTCCAAAACCACTCTGCAAATGGGCCCTCCTAGCCAGAGCTTGAAAATAACAGATTCCAAATTACAACCGTATATGTGGCATGTTACTTTGGGAAAACCTGAAGGCATAACTGTGTTCCTTTTTAAAAAAAAAAGAAAGCATATTAACAAGTAGTAATGGTATGACTCTACCTGCCCACATGAGACAGGGCTAAAATGCTTTGGGAATATGGAGGGGACTCTTCACCCACCCCCAAAATCAGATGAATTTCTTACTTTATTATTTTTTTAAGAAACTTAACAGAAAAGGGAACAGATAATTAATTTATCAAACTTTAATGCCAATGAGCTACTTTGGGGACTTTGTAACAAGTTGTGTAATAAATGAAGTTTCTTTTCAAGCTCCGTTTCTAGCGAATGCTCAAAAATGGGAGCGAGTGGGAGCTTCTGTTGGATCCAACCTCTGTCTGCTCTGAAACCCTTGGAGCACATAGAGGTGACATGTTCTTTTGTGACAGCTCTGGAGAGCCAACCTCCTTAACAGGCAGTTAGAACAGCCCTTTCTATTGCTATTGTCTCACTAATTTCAGGAGGACCATAAAAGCATAAGCAGTCATTAAATTGCCTTCTTTTTAATGACTGGGTGATGGCTTCTAATTGTCGTCTTCTCCTCTTTTTTTTAATATCAAGCTAATTTGCCTGTCTACAATTAAGGTAATAAAAGCGGGGGAAGCGTCAAGAACCCATAAACCTGCCTTATAGATGACTTTTTAAATAATACCCTGGAAACCTGGTTTGGGGCACCTCATGTTTTCCACAAGGTTTTAAATAAGCTGCATAAATGAAGGTTGCCCAGATGGTGAAGGGCAAAGTCTCTGTGCCACTAATACTTAATGTAGAAAAGGGGGAGAGGAATGGCAGGTGCAGAATGTGTGCTGCTCTGAAACACCTTCTATTTACATACCAATTAATGAGATGGGAGTTTTGTTCTCCTTTGTATTGGATATTCGGCCCAGACAGAACTCCCTCCAGGCCAGAGTGAAGCCTGCCAGCCAAACATTGCATACAACCAAGTATCCAAATGGCACCCTCCCTCTTATATTTTTGCAGTTCCAGGCAGACAGCAAAAAAAGAGGGCAGCAACCTTATCCATAGGGCAATAATTTCTGAACATAGATCTTTAGATACAGAACTAATGGGAAGCCTTACTTCTCTATGGGTTGCTTGCACTCACCCATGTTAGGCTACAATTTGCAGAAGCTCTAGCCCAGTGGTTCTCAACCTGGGGTCCCCAGACATTTTTGGCCAACAACTCCCAGAAATCCCAGCTAGTTTACCAGCTGTTAGGATTTCTGGGAGTTGTAGGCCAAAAACATCTGGGGACCCCAGGTTGAGAACCACTGCCTAGCCATTGGCTATGTTGGATGGGGATGATGGAAGTCATTATCCACCAACTTTGGGAACAATTGTCCTAAGGTGGGGCTGCATTCAGTGAGATGGTCCAGAGGTTGTGCAGGCTTATGAAATAGAAAAGGCAAGCATCCCCAGTCCTATCAAATCCATATTGGTGGTCTTGGGATTCAGTCCCACTCTTGTGCTTTTCCTCAACACTGAAAGAAACAGAAGTGCTCAATAAGCAGTCCTAACAGATTACCTTCTTTTCTTGACTGCCTCTTGTTAACTGTATTTTATTTCTTCTAGCTGAAGAGGTTGAGCACACATCAACTCCAATGGTGTAGTAAAAGCTAAGGAACTTTAGAAACAGTCCCTTTCCATGTTCTGCAAGTTTGTTTTCCCTTTCAGTTCTTTCTGGTGCAGCAAGGTTTTGGCACCCAGCCCTCCTTCAAACGCATCAGCCCATGTTCCCCTTCCCGTCCCTCCCCCTTGTTTCATCGAGCATTATGTCTTACAATGCTATTGTTTACATTGTTTTTATTGATATTGTATAAAAGATCTGATCATTTGCTTTAACCCTCATGGTGCATTTGTATGTGACTGAGTGCAAGTGAGTGAGAGGCATAAAATATGAAGAACAGGAAGAAGGACATGTAACACACACACATATACAAGGAAATGAGACCCCTCTTCTGTCTTGTGTTATAGATATTAATCTATAGCTAGAAAGGCTGACAGCTGTCCAGAAATGAACCTGTCTGTCCTATTCTTCTGCCTTGAATAGTGGCATCCTGGGCAGACATTGGCAAGTGAAACTTTTGAACAGTATGGCAACATCAATGCGATTCCATATTCATCTACATCCATGGTTCTCACCCTGTGGATCCCCAGGTGTTTTGGCCTACAACTCCCAGAAGTCCCAGCCAGTTTACCAGCTTTTAGGATTTCTGGGAATTGAAGGCCAAAACATCTGGGGACCGACAAGTTGAGAACCACTGGTCTACATGGATCGTGAAGGATAAATCCGTGAGTGGCTACTGGGCAACTGGGAGGGAAACAGCAGAGGGAACCTTGTTGGCTTTATTGCCCTCTTTGTAGGCTTCCTGAAAGTATCAGATTGGCCACTGTGGGTCACTGAATGTTTGCCCTGAGATCTACAGACCACTCCATTATGGTGTTATGTTTTAAACTGGTGAGAAAGGAACAGCTGCAACAAGCAGTTGAAACGTTGGCAACCTTTATGTCGACAGAGTTCCATCTTCTGGGAAATGCAAGCGCACTCCATTGAAGGAAGCAATGGGATTGCAGAGGGAACAGTACTGAGTGACCTTTACTTTTAAGCAAGGGAGTATAATATTCTGCCAGATGCTAACTAGTAAGATAACATAAATGAAAGATATGAAGGCAATACCTCTTGTTTTTATGCGACTTTCCTATTACTTGAAGAGGAGTGGGAAGAGAACAACATTGGAATGAAAGAGGATGGTGATAACAGCAAAGAGATCAATTTGAAGTTTTTGTCATTTTTAAATCAAACGTTTGCCTCTTCTTTTTTGCCTAGTAATCGGTTCTTGAACCTTTTCTTTCACAGCATTGCAGCCTTGCCTCCTTCCTTACAACACCTACATATACAGATTTTTTAAAAGAACTCAAAAGCTTCCTAGCTTCCTGCAAAAATTACAAAGTCAGTGAATTTCTAGAAGCATTTTTAAAAAGTATCTTTCCTTTATGTGACATGTCTATTTAGTGCCTTATTTTACAAAAACACAGAAAGCCTCCCTTTAATAGAAAATAGCAAAAGGAGAGGGGAATCCAATCATTGCTAGTGAAAACTTCCAGGGTGTGGTCACTTTTGCTTTTAGATCCCTGGGTTGCAATTTTCTCTTGTTAATTTATGTGGGGTTTTTTTTTGGGGGGGGGGTACCTTTTCTTTAAATTGTACCTTTGAGCCCCACTATAACCAGTTTGATGTGCCTAGCTGTGTAAGGTGCTCCTTCGCTGTCTTGCCATCTGTTTTCTTGGGACTGTTTGCAAGGGAACTTGAATACATTTTGTGCACATATCCTACTCCATAGGGTAGTCCATTGTGGTGGATTTTGTAATCAAGGATACCAACCAAAAGACAAACTGAAAATATATCTACTGCCCTCTTGAGCCAAAATGAGTAAACAGTAATGTTTTGTTTTTTTTTGTTGTTTGTTCTTGCTGTCCTTGCTATAATTATTATTCTTTTATTTGTTCCGTGATCTTACTAGTGTGTTTGCTACACACCTGTATACATGTCCTTCTGTTGGTTTGGGGTGGAGTATGAGCATCACATATCTAAAAGCTCTGCCATCATTGCAGAATTGTCAGCATGGCTGGAGGTTGTTTTAAGAAATCACACTGGAGTGCCTTGTACAAAATGGGCAAATCTCCCAGGATTCCCATGGGGCCACCAGCAGAAGCAGCAGGGATTGGTGGTGTTGGGACCTTCAGGGAGCCCTCGCTGACCTCTCTGGGCTTCATAGGGCTGCTGTTCCTTCTCACTTGTTAGGGCCCATCTGCCCTCTCCAATCAAACAAACCATGACAAGAGTGATGACACGAAGAAGCCCTCCTTGACTTGCCTTCATGCTTTCCTTCTGGGTGATGGGATAGATTGGGTCCAGAGCACAACTGCATTGGGCACCTGGGACAATTGTGGAGAACAGGACTCATAGAGAGCATCTTGTCCAAAGGACTTCCCAAAATCTGGAGCAGGTTGCTAACTTGGTATTTACTAGAAGACTTGACATGCAGCAGTGAAGGCAAGACAAGGTCTTTCTTGGCAGTAAAACAATGGCTGAGGCTTCAGCCATTCTATTTCTCCACATTGGGTTCTATTAACTGGACAAGATCAAAGTCAGTAAAGACATTTTTTACTAAATCACCAAGATAAGATTTTTGAAGTCTTAACTGATGTTGGAGAGCAATTTATTTTTCTGAACTGTTGATTGCCCTCCCAACACTCATTCACGCATGTGTGTATCTCCCTGAACAATCCTTGCCTATACTTTCAATAGGTTAAACCCTACAAATTTTGAGGATTAGGTAATCAGTTCCAGTGTTAGTTTAAGCAAATACCACTTTGACTATACTAAATGCCACATGATTGAAATATGATTTTTTTGTGTGTGGAAAAAATTGATTTCTCCCTCAAAAAGGTTTAATGCCAGCAGACAGAGGAGACATGTTACTTCATTTGCTCTGTTATTTTAATTAGGAAACAGACATTTTTGTCCCAAAGCAATAGTAAAAAATGAAAGCATTACTTTTTGGACTATAAATCCATATCCCCAATCGTCTCAGTTTGACATGAACTATCTTGATTAATCTGCTTTCCCATTTCGTCATCTTCTTTTCAAATGTCCCAACTTTTCCTGCCTCCTACTTTACCTACCTTGTCTTCAGCTTTCTTCAATTGGTGCAAACTGATGTCAAAAGAACTTGGCATTCAACTCAGCAGGGAGAAGAGGAAGTGGAGAAATCTTACCCTTCCCAGTAGGCTCAGGCAAAAGCAAACAAAAGTCCTCTCCTAACTTGTGTGTTATTCCTCGTGAAGAACCATCTTGACCATGTTCTGATATTGCTTGGCCACCTGTGTCCTAGTTTTGAACTGTGAAGTGTTGATGGGTATGCAACCCAAATTCTTTCCAGCCAGGCTGGGGCCACTTTTGGAGTTGAAGGCAAAAAGCTAATCTCTTTCCCACACCCCAGCTCTAGGCTGTGGCTGTAAAATGTATCCAAAGCACCACCACCACTATTCAGATGCATTCCTGACTCTAGCTGTCATCTTGGATTTCAGCTTGCCACCATTTAATCACCTAGAGCTCCTGCACAGAAGACTAAAAATATTGCAGGCAAAACTTTTCCCATTACAGATCCTCTGTGCCAGAAAAAGCAGTATGTGTTGGCTTTTTCCTACCAGGTCCAGGAGTTCTGCCAAAGGAAAAAAGAAGAGTGGCAACCTTAATTGAATTGTGCTGAGAGAATTTCAAACTGACTAGGAGTGATCAAGGACTCACATTAATCTTAGGTTTTCTCACATTGCTTCTTTCTTTTTTTTACACTTGTGTATTTATATGAAGAAATTCCCCTATAACTATTAGAAATATTTTTTGAAGTAAGATCAGCAACACATGTAAACTGGCATCTTGACCTTTAAATCAGTCCAGTTCTTACCTAGCCTTTTAAGATAATCTGAAAGTACCTGTTGCCAGGTTGTATAAATTCCAGAAACTAGGAGCATCTTTTAGCACCAACTATCACATGAAGACGTGCATAATGGATAGATCCGTGGCACTAAGAGCACTGGGAAATGACTTGGCCACAGTCAGGATGTTGATGATAAAGGTAGATCTTCGTTAATGTGCTGCTTGTGACTGAAGAGGAAAACTAAAATCAAAGAAGCAGCAAGGCTCCTCTGCCATTTTGTCAAAGATTTTACAAGTCAGGTTAGCTTCAAAACCAATGAGGCAATATGTTTGGGACTGTATCTTCAAGCAGAGCAGAAACCAATCTTAAAATCAATTCCATTAAAATGTGATGTACTGAGATATGAATTTGGAAATCATAATGGCAGGCCTTAGTTGGTTCTTCCTTTTCGTAGTTCTCAATTTCAACCATTGTAAGCATCAAGCTTAAAAATCTGATCCATTATTGGTTTTAAGAATAAGGATATGACTGTCAGCCAAAAGTGGGGAGGATAGAAATCAATATACTTCTTGAGAATATCGTTTTAATACATCTAAATCTCTTTAAAATTGCACTAAATGCTCTATTTAATGGAAAGGAAAAAATTTCCACCATTTCCCCCCTTTAACAGATGAATTTTTAAAAAGCCAGATGTGTAGCATAAACATACTAACCAAGAACAGAATGAATTCATTTTCTCCTGTATGATCTGTGTGGCATTCAGATTTATATAAAAATATCTATTTTCCCCCATGTACGACAACTAAACTTAAGGGGTTGGATGGGAAAAAAACATACAATTTTCCATAAACTGCGCTTTCCAATTTTTTGCTGTAATATAGAAGCTCATGAAGGACTACATTTAAAGTCCTAATTTGCCTGCCTTATAGTCACATTTCATTGTATTTTAATATTTTCTTCAATTTCCAGTTGCATTGCTTTTGGCTTTGGAGTTTGTTATAGGCAGTCCTGTAATCCTGATTTTTTTTTGTTCAAATAAAAAATACGTAAACAATAGACAGCACATGCAATGCAGTAATTATCTATATTTTGCTGTTTTAGTATGAATATGTACTCTGATGCCAATTTCCACAATTCTGTTGTAAAACGCTTCTTGTGTAACAGTAACCAATAGTGGCAATGATATGTCATTCTATTCTTAAAAAGCTGCAATACTTAAAACAATAAATTTTACAATACTTTGGATTGCCTGCCTTCATCTTTTTACTTTGTTTCACCCAAACGTATCATGTTTTGGAAATGTGACGTCCATGTTTAAGAGAGGCAACAGAAAGCTGTCAGATACATAGATATTTAAATCTATCATGGTGGGTTAAAATCGACATTTTATGGGGGCTGTGTGATTTCTGGAAATCTGTTGCTGATCTGTTGCACATGGCAGGGTTTTGTGTGCGCACATGTGCAAAAAAGTATTTAGTTTATAAGAAAAGCATTTCTGATTTGCTTACTGCACTAATATTGTATGTCATCTTATCCTGCCTTTTGGAGAAGAGAAACTTTAGTCAAAAATTCTTAACTTGTGTCAATCAGTGAACTGTGCCAAACTGATAGATGGTGAAACACAGACTGCCAGAATTGGGACTCGTTTCCCTTTTTCCTTTCCAAAGTTGTAGTCAAACTGCAGCAGTGACATTAAAATCAGATAACTGAGGGCCCCTTCACTGTCTTTTTCGAGGTCTTAACACAAAATGACTGAGATCTTACTTAGTTCTAGATACATTGTGCTACACAAATGTTGTGTTGCATAAACCATTGAAGAATGTGCAGCCCAACACACATTTCACATCTTATGTGCAACATGTGACTGTGCAAAATGGCACCACTTGGTCAGTTACACTTTTGCAACCTGTAACTGAATACAGATTTTGTAGATCAGACAAAAGAGAGCCAGCATGGTGTACTACTGTGAACGTTGGACTAAGACTGAAAAGTAAGGTGTTTCTCCATTTGGCCACAAAAAGCCATTGAAAACACCTTGGCCCCAGACACCCTTAAAAGAGGTTCACCTTAGGTTCACTATAAGTCAGAAATGACTTGACAACAACATTTTTTTTCATGTGGGGAACAATTTGAGAAACTGCAAGGCGCTTCTGGTGTGAGAGAATTGGCCATTTGCAAGGACGTTGCCCAGAGGACAACAACAAATATACCAATAGGGTTCTGTCAATATGCTTTTCAGCTCAAGTACATATTGCCCAGTGTTTGGTAGCTACAAATCAGTAAACATGTTCCTGCCCCTTTCAAAGGGCAGTATTGGAAAGTCTTTAAGTTTCCAGAGAATAAGCAAGTACGGGGAATTTAGGTTTACAAAGTGGTCATTTTTCATCATACAAATGTACCCACACAAAGAATACTGACTTAACTAATGCATATGTAGACTTTTTTTTAATCTTTTAAGTGCCAGTGTGGAAGTTATGACTGGTGCAGAAATGGAAATGCAATATATCTTATAGTGAGGACAAGGTAACTTATTTGCTGTCTAGGTACTAACTTTTGATTTGCCCTTGTAAATCAAATCCTTCTTTATAGGATTTACTTATGAGGATTACTGAAAGAAACTATGCAGTATGAGAGACAATAATATATCCACTGCATTGCTCATTCCTGAGTCTTCACATGAACGCAGAAGAAGTGGATAACATCACACAATAGATTTACCCCTGAATTCATTTTCTGAAACTCTGTACCAAGCTGTCACCTTGCCAGATGCAACATGAAGAGCTTTTACTGTTTCCCCACAATAGTCACAAAATAAGGGCAAGAATTAAACCTCCCAAATCACAATTCTTTCCTCTTTCTCCCAAACCTGGGACAGATAATTTGTCATTGCAAGCTAGACAGAAAGCTGCCTCATACTGAGTCAGAGCTCAAGTCCATCTAGCCCAGTTCTGTCACCTCTGGCTGGCAATGCTTTTCTAGGACTACCAGTGGGATTTTTTCCTAACCCAGAGTTCCTAATATTACCTGGTGGTGTCCCAGGCAAGTACCATGATAGGTTGCGTTCAAGATTATAATAATAGGATAAGTAAAGCATTTACCCAATGGACATTAAAAGCCACAGGGTTCCAGGACCTTTTAACACGCAAAGGTTGGGCAGATTAAGGTTGGGTTTCCTTCTCTTGAAACAGGACAGGAAATTCACAACTCTTGGCAATGGTTATATTCTTGCTGATGTTCCTAGTATCTCAGTAGTTGCATGCCAGTGGTTGGTAAAAGCAGAGCCCAAAACATGCACTGTATCTGCTTCTATATGCAGTGCACATAGAACTCTCTTTCCTAGGGCGACAGATAACTCTTACCACAATCTGAACAAATTATGTGCAGAAAGCTGAAATTACACCAAAGTCCCCAAGCAGTCCCTTTGGCCTCACCCCAACAAACAACATTTTGGCATGACCTTAAATACAGGTAATGTAAGGGTGAACTGTGTCTATTTATCCTAGAATAAGTCACACCATACTCCAGCAGACATGCTTACACTTACATTGTATATCCCTAAAGTTACAAGTACCGTTACAGAAGTGTGTTCCTGGGCATGACTTGGGTACCAAAGGCACAGAAAGAATGGGAAACACTTCAACATCTTTCAGTAAACTTTTTATTGAAAACTACTAATATGCACATGTGAGATGAAAGGTAAGCCTTCCAGAAGAAAAAAGACATAAAATCTGCTGGAGACCACTTGAAATCGTCTTCCAAAATGCATTTATAGTTACACTGGCCTCCGCTTTTCTTATGATTTCCATTTTGGTAGCCATGTCTATCCTTTTTTAGCATTCTGGCAGGGAGCTGGTGGCAAGGCAGGTCTATCTACGTCTATCTCTTTCTCTTGCACATGTTCAGTGAGGGATTCTGGAGGCAACTGCTGTTCATTTTGCCAGATGTAGGCAGGTATACACAAGCATACACAGCTACAGTTAGTGTAAAACTCAGCTCATTCTCAAAAATTGTTTATTGGATTGTTTGCAGCAAACATTCTACAGCAACCTGATGCTAAAAGTCTCATCTCTCCAGCATTCATTGAATGCTTTTCTTCAACATCCTTTGAAAACTGTAGCTGACTTTTTTAGGTCCAGCTAGCCAGAACGTGAGGAAAGAGGTGATTGACAAGTGTAAAACAATCTTTGCAAAGCTTTGTCAGAGGTCTTGTTAACCAAAGCATGGTTATATTTAACAGTATGTGCAGTTTTGTTGTGTACTTTCAAGACATTTCCAACTCAATACACTTTCAGGTGAACCCATCACAGGGTTTTCTTGGCAGTATTTGTTCAGAGAGGGCTTGCCTTTGCTCCCCTCTGAGCCTGAAAAGGCATCAACCAGTGGGTTTTCATGGTTGAGCAAGGATTCAAAACCTGGTCTCCATAATCTAATGTCCAAACCACACAATTTCTCATATTACCATGAGCTATATGATGGGGGAAAGATAGGATATACATATAATCAAAAAGCATATAAACAACAGAATTTCATGTTTGACAAATTATCTTTCCTGCATAATTTAGAAGCCTCCACCATCTGTAACCTTGCAAACATTAAGTGAATTTATAACAGCATATAGTTGTGCTCAGAGATGTTCCAAAATCTCTGAAACAACAATATGGCGCAATCCTCAGTTCAGATTCCAAAACACAAATGACATCAAGATCTATTTTGAAGAACACAACAATCTCTGGGTGTCTCAAAGAGTGTTGTGCCAAATCATTTCCTTGGGTCACTATGACTAAACAGCTGAGCATGTGGGTCACACTGACTCGTGCTGCTGTTATTTATTAGGCTTCTGTTGGAGTTTGCTGTCTGTGCTTTTCAGCCAGACTGATCTGATACTGTTTACCAACAACACTGGAAAGGAAGAAATAGGACATTCAACAAAAAGGAAGGTCTTGTTCAGACAACCATCTTCCAGGTTATTCCATTTTCCTTTCCCCATCCCCTGTCTTCTTCCATACCAAACTTAGGAATTATAATTAATTATTTATTGTGCTTATTGGGCAGCTGTGAATAGAGGCTGACTTCTTAAGTCTCCCTCTCAAAATATGTTTCTTAGTTCCACACATTTTGGGGTCCTTCCTCTATCTCACTGGCTCCCTTTTGTCAGCATTCCTATCAGCACTCACCAGCTGTGTTTGCTGTTTATAAGGATAAGGCATAATGATAGTAGTAGTTCCCAAGTGGGAAAATGAATAGTTTTGCTCTTTCTTTATTAACCAAGGTTGTTTCCCTGTTTCCTGTCCTTTGTAATGTCTCATTTAGAGAAAAGTTGGAGATTAAATTCTAAAATGTTACCAAAACTCAGAGGCATGCTCATCCTGTTTAGCTTTAAGGATTAGACAGGATCCAATGCCTTTAGAGTATTTGCATATACAGTACAGCTTCTTTATATGTGAGGGGGGCATTCAAAGTTCCCCTATGAATTCCTGAAATCATGAGTAATAGCAAAATCTAAATTTTGTCAGTATTTGGGCAGGATGCATACCATACAATCACACTGGAGAACCTAGAGAGGCCTCCAGAGGAACAGTGGACATGAACTTCACTGCACAACAGCTCCAAGAAAAATGCAGGGAACAAAATCAACCTCTATACATGGCATTCACTAACCTTGCAAAGGCATTCGGCACAGTGAATTGCAGCGCTCTCTAGATCATCCTCCAAAAAATCGGGTGCCCTGACAAATTTGTCAACATCCTCCATGATGACATGATGGCAACAGTCTTGGATAGCAATGGCTCCCAAAGTGACCCATTTAAGGTGGAATCAGGTGTCAAACAGAGATGTGTTATTGCCCCAGCCTTATTTTCCACCTTCATCGTTATGATGCTTCATCTTGTTGATGGGAAGCTTCCCACCAGAGTGGAAATCATCTATCAGACAGATGGCAAGCTATTTAACCTCAGCAGACTGAAAGCAAAAACCAAGGTCACAACATCTGTTATAGAACTCCAATATGCTGATGACAATGTAGTCTGTGTGCATTCAGAAGAAGACCTACAAGCCACTCTAAACACCTTTGCAGAAGCATATGAGAAGCTCAGCCTCTCATTGAATATCAAGAAACCCAAAATGCTGGACTGGCCACATTGTCTGAATGCCCTATCATCATCTCCCAAAGCAGTTACTATACTCCTAACTCAAAAACGAAAAACATAATGTTGTTGGACAGGAAAAGAAATTTAAAGATGGCCTTG